AAAAACACACAAATACGACATGCAATGAGTTTTAATGATATAAAGACATAATCATCGAATGCTTTTATCTAAAAGTAGTTTTTAAAAGCATTGTCATAAAATAATCTCAAGTTCTTCGCAGAACCCTGAACGAGACCTTGGCGGCTTAAAATATTGGCGCTTTGCCTGGAGCACCCTAAGCGAGACCAAAATCCAAAGTTTACACCCCTAAGCGAGACGACGAGCATCCCCGTCTGTTTCATATGGGAGTCCCCCCCCCCGCGGAGGAAAACTGTTATTTTGTTTATTTATAAGCTATTTTTATGCTCAAAATAACAATCGCAAAAATCCCCATACAAAGCCTTATATTATTTCTGTTATGCAACAATGATTCTCACTCGTGAGCTTGGAGTGCCTTTGGTGAGTTATGTGGGGTTCAACCCACGTGCAGATATATGAAGAATATTTTAGCTTATTGTTGGAAAATCTGATGTTGGTGGAAACGTAACCAGCAAACGAAAAGATAAGAATAAAGAGGAAAAATCTTACAAACCTAAAGCGAACAACAAAGGAAAAGAAAACAGTGCCATTGCATGTTCTTGAAAACATTTCAAACAGCACAGTGAATCATTCTAAGTTTCAATTGGGTAACAAAAAGCCTCAGGAAATTTCAAATGAGGGTTAAATGATTAAACTGGACAAATCTTTATCAACAAAGCGAAACTGAACCAACAGTAATTTTGTAGGTGGACTGGTTTAAGAGAAACAATCATTCTTTATATTTCCCCCCTAAGTATTACTGATCGCTTCATCTGCAAAGCTGATTTATTCTTTTAAAAAAGATCCCTGATGACAAACTTCTCCATTATAGCAGGTTCATAAAGCCACAGGAGTATGAGAACTGACTCTCCTACAGAACCTTGATACATGTATAACACCTTTTCAAGAAAATAATCCTTGCAGCAGGAAGGGACCATTAGAAACTTTAAATGTCGGAAAAAAGAAATTCCATTCCTATGCAAAATACGCATGATATACTCGTTGGCCATCTGTCGATAAGTATACCTAGTAAAGCAATTATTATTACTTCACGCTTGTTGGATATGAGATAGTTATAGCCAACTCAGTGCTACACCTCTCATTGGCTTTTTACCACTTCATATCCAACACGCACTCATGGAATAAATTATTGTTTAACTGTATTGGCAGCTGACATTTAAAATTTCTGCTAATGGTAGATTTACCACACTATTGATTTTGATAGTATTGGAATATTAAAAAAACATCCCAACCTGAAGCTCTCCCTTAAAACAATAGCTTTTTTTTCTCGGTAAACAGGTTGGTCAACAAATTAAAACAGTGTTAAACATTAATTAATTTTTTGTGTGCATTACGATGTAAATAACGTAACAGTGACAGTTCAGTGTTACAGTACATGTGTCTGTTGTAGTTAAATGTTTTTGGCTACATGGTAATGTATGCTAATGAATTTGAAACAAAGGAATTTAACAAAAATTAACTAAAGTAAAAAATTAACTGCAACATATACCTATATCTGATTCAGTACCAAGTTAAGATTTATAGTAATTTGTCAAATGAATATCACAAAATCATTCTAAATTATATTTTCATTTATTTTCAGGACTAAGTTTATTAGAAATTGTTCTTGGAGGTGAGGAACTTAGAACTGGTACATGTAATAATTGTCTCACAAATAGCATACTACTAATACAGCTATAAGTGCATCTTCATTGAAGATGTTCCAGTTGTAGAATTTCTTATATGATATGTTCAGGTGTAATGCTGGGTGACAATGCCACATTAATTTATTTTGCCAGGATTTAAAAAGTGAAAAGTGGAGTCCTTAACAAATGGTATTACATAATCTGCCTGTTCAAAGTAACATTCAAAACATCATGCAGATTGAAAGTCTCTGAAACAAATTAAAGTTTTACCCTTCCTCTGTTCTTGCTTTGTTCGTGTAAACAGTCAAACCTCCCATGAGTGACAAACCAGAATGCAAAAGGTTTACATTGTTATCATCGCTTACAAGAGTCTGACCACAGGGGGCTCTCTACCTGGAACAGGCCATACTCTCTCACTTTCTTTCTCACTCACCTACAATCAGGGACAGAAATAGTTGACACACTTGTTTCAAAGGGGTGCTTTTAACAAACATTTAATTCATTTATTATTTCATTCCTTTTAAACGCTGTAAATCCCCCGACCCCCCAAATCAATGTTGTCTGAAGTAAAAAAAAGACTTGAGGGTCCAAAATTCAACACTGATTTTGGGGGGAAGGGGTTGGGGTAGACAGGGGAAGGGGATAAGTATATCCACTATGCAAAAAGGGGCCATTTTACGGAAGTGTGTCAACACTTTTGTCCCTCATTGTAGCCTATCTTATTCATCCTGGCTGGGGCATAAAAGCAGGAAATGTGTTGCATATGATATGTAAATTTTCTTTCTGAGTGACAACTAAATAAAAGTTCCATGCATACTCAAGTTGCTTTTCATGTAATAGGTCAGTTATTCATGAATAAGTTCTAGTAGACAAGGAAATAGGCACTTTGCAGCTTGTTGTTTACATGGACCAAAACTGCAGTGGTGGCAGCAGAGTAAGAAGTGCACTGGAACAAGACAAAAAAGGCTGACCTTTCTGTTAAACCTCCACAAAGCAGCCACCCTCTATTAATTAAGCGACCAGTAATCAAAGTTCTGAAATAATAAGTTGTAGGCAACAAAAGTAAATAAAATGAAACCTCTATCAAACACCTGCAGCAACCTTTTGGCCATCCCGATGAGGGGTCTCCTATTTTGTCACCTCTACTAAAAGACAGGTAATTGAGCAGCTGCCATCAAGCAGTCTGATACACCCAGTTTAGCTTTATTTGAAAAATATGATGGAAAAAAAAGCAGTGAAAGATAAAAGGTGATGACTGACCAGTAATGCGGTTCTCAACATGTTTGTTTCGATGAAGTGATGAACTATCTCTAGTTATTTCATATAACTTATTACATTTACAGCCCTCAAAAAGTGTAATTAAAAGAATGCAATATTCTTGAAATTATTCTTGTGCAAGGTTTTTGACCACTGAAAATTGCTACCAGAACAGGTAGACTGTTTTTCTAGAGACATGCGTAACAGTTGCCCGTAGCGACAAAGGTGATCATTGTTGGTTACGTGTCAATAAAGATGTCAGCTCAAAAGGCAAGCGCACATAATCACATTCCTTCGCATTTCTTTGCCCACGCTTTGGCTGTCTGTCATCGTTTATTCATATTTGTTTGAAACAAACTGGCCCTTAACTCAACTTCCTTGAACTGCCCTTCAAAATATCCTGACGCTGGATCCCCACCTTCAGCTATAATCAATTTTATTATCATATATCTTACTAAAGAAGTAGGCTATCGTCTACGCATTTACCACAGATATAAGACCTTCCTTGTTTGTTTATGGAAAAGCCCGCCATCGTCATTTGATTTTCAGTAATGTGAAGAAATGCAATCACTTGTGCGTACATTTTTGTTGTCTGGTATAGATCACATGGGTTAAATTCAAATATATTTCTCTCCAGTGGCAACTGTTATGCGTGTCTCCGAAAATACAGTCTACCTGTTTTGGTACCGTAGTAAAATTACTCAATATCCTAATGGATTTGTTCTTAATTTCCTTTGTTCATTGTCTTGTCCCAGTGCATTTCTTGCTCTCAAACATGCCGATTTTGGATCACGTGAATGACTAGCTGCAAAGGGGGTATTGATCGACAATTGTCAATTTTGTAACAGATTGTGAAAAGTGTGATTCCTCAAATTATGTGATCAAAATTAGGTCAATGTATGGCGTGAAGTTTCACCATTGTTTAACATCGGAAGTTCTGAGTAAACTTTGCTAATCATTGTATCTTACATGTACTTTTTTGTTTTAGCTTCTTGTGACAAGACATTTTTTGGTTCACTTGGAACAATAACATCACCAAACTATTGGAGTAGGTCAAATTATGCCAACAACCAGAATTGCCAATTCGACATTAGAGTTAGTTCTGGGTATGCAATTAAGCTGACATGGACCACATTTGATGTCAAGGGTAATATGCCCAACTGCTATGATGATTACGTGGAGATTTACATTGGATGCAGCCGAAAGTCCATCGGGAAATATTGCTCTGACAACAGCTACAAGCCCCATGATATCTACTCACCAGATAACTGCTTGCGTATTAAGTTTAAAAGTGACAGCTCTGGAAGTGGAAAAGGATTCGCAGCCTCATATTTCAGTATCTCCAAATCATTTTCGGGTAAAGGCCTATTCTATAACTAACTAACTAACTAACTAACTAACGGTCAGAAAGAATACCATATATAAATTTATTAAAGGATGGTAAACTAGTCTGTCTTAACCCTTTAAGTCCCGATAGTGACCAACATTAATTTTCTCCTAACAATATCCATACATTGTCAAGAAATAAAGTAATGAGAATTAATGAAATGATCACCAAAGAGAAAATGCCATGATCATTTATCGAAGTCTCTCAACTAATTCTTAAAGGAAACGTATGGAGATCAGTTTGGAGAATTTGTATGTTGATATTGGGACTTAAAGGGTTAAAGTAGCGACCATTGTCATAAGAATAATAATAATAATGCAATAAGACTGTAAAACAATACCACACTGAATGGAGCTCATCACCTAAAGAGTCACCAAGGTGAAAGTTACAGCTGTTGTGGCCATGAGTAATTGCTGCTGTCAGTGCTTTAAAGATCATCTGTGTACAGTAGTATGCATTTGTTTCTTCTCCTGTTCAAAAATTGTTGTTTCTCTTCCTTTTTCCTCATGGGTGCCATTTTTTTACCCAGAGACAGTTGCTGGCTTTCTGCCTTTAATCTTTTCCGTGAGTGTGTGCAAGGGCAGCCTGGAACCATCAAAATTTCACTTTATTTACATGTAATATGTATAGGTAATAGCATGATTAGTAGTGATATTTGGCATAAATACCACAAGTGATATTTCAAAATTTGTATACATAGTTTCACGTGCCGTTAGGCGAGTGAAATTTGAGACGATTTTGAAATAAGATTATCATGAGTGGTATTTATGCCAAATTATCACGTACAAATCATGCTATTATTTGTTTATACTACTGCCCGCAAAAGGTTTGTTATTTTCACGTGTGGGTATTTCAAATTATGCTGAAATACCACTGCTCTAAGCCAATCAAATTGCAGAAATTTCTCATGTAGTGGTATAAAGTTATGAATTTTCTCCAGACAATTAATATATCAGACGAGTTAAATGGCATCATCTGTAGAGTTTACTATCCAAGACAGTGTTTCATCTCTTACATGAATTCAGCCCATTATTATGGTTTATGAGGGTTAAAAAAGTGATTTTCAGTGAGATAATTTTACAAATCCTGAATACACTCTTCTTCTAATACATGTAATAGACACATTGTGTATTCCTACTCATGTAATTAGTTTTATTGCCTGAAATATGCTTGTACTTGTCTGGGTATTAACATTATAACATGTACATGTGCTGACTTTTTTTCTCAATTTCCTCATTTTTTATATGAGTGGGGATGAAAGGGTTTATTGTAAAGATTAATGTAAATTAAGAAATGATGAAATATTTTGAATCAATAATAACAATATAACTTATGTCCTTATTTTTACCTTGCAGCTTCTGGACTCTATAGTGAGTATCATGATTTACCCCCTGAAAGTTATTGGTACATGTAGTAGATGTTATAGCTACATGTAGGATTCAGGGGTTTTGTCAGATGAAGAAAAGATAGACAATAGACCAGGCGATATTGTGATTGCAGTAATGTACAAATGAAAACATGTTTTATAATGACCAAAGAAGTATAAAGAAAGTAGATGTGTTTCTTGAGAATTTTTTTTACACATACGTGCTGGTTCTTGGTGAAGTATATGTCACTGATGTTTAAGAACATTTTTCAAGGTTGCTTTTGACTAATTTGGAGTCCACTCTCATGGTCTAGAGGTTTCTTATACCTGTCCAGTGAACTACTTTGTTTTTTATCTTGGCTCAAATGATTTTTTTCTTCTTATTTTAGGAATTGTGAAAATTTGTGGACAATCCATTTGAATGATTACATATCTTTATTATGAGTTACTGATTCTCTGTTAATATGATCACTTCTGAGACGTCTATTTATTGATTTATTTTTCATTTTATGAATTATTATTTTTCAGGATCCTGCTCTTCAGAGTATTATCCTACAACATTTTATGCGAATTATGGAATCGTAAGTTCCAAAAATTGGCCCCAAAATTATCCATCTTATCAAGACTGTTATTGGAAAATTGACGTTGGAGATGACAAAAAAATTAAAATTGCTTTCATGGACTTTGATCTAGAGGATGATTCAGGATGTGGTGATGACAAACTCAAAGTAAAAGGTGAGAATTAGCACATCTTTGTTTACCGGTATTAAGTAATGTTATTTGTCTTTAGAAAACAGGTCATATTTTAATGGCTACATGATATTTTTATTGGGTGGTGGGGAGCAAAGAAGTCTGTTTTACAGCTTGCCCAAATGGCAAGCTGTACACTGTAGCTACTGTAGTGGTTAATAGCCCAAGAGTCATTTTAACAAGCTGTAAATGGCCACAGAAAATGCGAGGACTTACATAATGGTGGACGCTCATGGGAGGTGGTCGCTTACAAGGAAAGTACCATGGGGTGTCTCCTTTGTTAAGAAATCAAACAAAGGAAGAAATCAAACTGTTAAGAAATCAAACCTCAGAAGATTAATCACACTTCAAAAACGGGTCGTAAGAATAATGTCGAGGAGTGCTTTCGATGCTCACACTGACCCCTTATTTAAAAATTTAAAACTTCTGAATCTTGAGAGTATCTACAAACTTCAAATAGGAAAATTTATGTATCAATACAGATCTGGCTTACTTCCTTATAGCTTCAATAACATGTTTCTGGTGACACGCCAGGTGCATTCTTATGGCACTAGAAGTTCGGAGCATTTTTATTTACCACAATGCAGGACTAATATAAGAAAGTTCTCCATCAGTTTCCAAGGTCCTAAATTTTTTAACTCTCTTAGTTTTGAAATTCGAAATGCAACAAGTACCGCTTCCTTTTGCTGTAAGCTGAAAGCATTCCTCTTATCATAAATAGTAATTTATATATATATATATATATATATATTTTTTTTTTCTTCCTTTGCTCTTTTATTTTCTTTTGTTTTGTTTTGTTTTGTTTTTTCTTTTTGTCATTTCGCTTTTTTTAGCCTAGAACTATGATTAGTACGACTATCTAATATACTTATTTTAAGATTTACTGTAGCTCTGCCATTGATTTTCCCGTGTGTAATTATCATAATATTTTGTTCTAATGATCTAACTGAGGGAGCCCATTCCTTATAAGCCCGGTGGCTTCTCTTGGGCTTCCTCGCCATGAGAGTTAAGGTAATTAGATTTTATTTGATTTGTATAATTTTTGGCAAACAAAACAATAAACAATAAACGAAATCCCGACATACCAACGTTGAAGTCAACTCTCTCATAGTGACCACTGCTCGTAAGCATCCATCTCCCATAAGAGACTAATTTTTAAATAATTGTTTTGTTTCTTGGACAAATACTGTTTCAAAAATTCCCTTGTAAGTGACTGGTCAGTACTAAATTTCTTAAACGACTGCAATATTTCTTTGACATTCCAGTTTGTCTTCTGTTTCTGGGAAGGGAACACTTGGTGTGATCATATGATTGTAAGAAACCATTACTTGAATGTCACAAGAGTTCAGTTCTTTATAGCACTGATCAAGAGTGCTGACAGGTTGTAGCCATTGGCTTACAAAAGAGTTGGCTTTAATAAGATCTGTGGGTAAAAAGTGAATTGTTACATTGCTGAAAAAAGTTATATACAAAGTGTCAACAGTTCCAAGCACTATTCGATGTGACACTTTATTGCCAGTTGTCTATTTGACTAGCTTTAACTTGTAAGGTACATGACGATGTATTCAATAACTTTATGTAAAATTTACATTAATCAGTTCAGTTCAATTAATTAATTATTAAGCTTATTTCCGTGATTTTCCCCATAGGTGACCACCTCCTGTCATGTAGCAACCACTTAAGAGAGGCTGTTATAGCTGACTGTATTATTTGGGTGGACAATTGACTGTGTGCAATTTCTAAGTTCCATAGGTGGTGTTACCATACTAAAGTTCGTCACATATTTTAATGCTCCAAGTAGCATAGTACATACAGCAAACAAAGAGATCAGACAATGGGTTATGTGGTCGCTTGCAAGAGGTTAAAAACAATGGAAATTTAATAAACCATCAGCCTTGAAAAGTGATCGCGGTCGAATACAGAGGGTGGTCGTTTATGAGAGGATCTAACTGTAAGGCTTTGACCAGGAGAGTTCAAGTGTTTTGAATTAGAGGCGGTCACTTATCGGCGGTGGTCGCTTACGCGAAGTCCCAACTGTAGGGCTTTGACTGGGAGAGTTTCAATGTTTCGAATAGACGGCTGCTTATGAGAGGTGGTTGCGAGAAATATGTCCAACTGTACATAGCAGCAAATGTGATGCCCTTTAAATGATGAGACCTAATAATTTTCACAGGGCTGGTGTTGCTTTTACTTCACTGTCAAACTAACAAAACCATGAAAAGCCTGAAATATTTCAGGAATGTTTATTGAGTCGCAGTATGACTAGTCTACTACACAGCCATTTTTGGAGGAGTGTTGCGTGACGACAATAAAAACGGCTGTGTAGCAGACTACAGTATGACCAGTCATGCAAAAGATTAGGACATGGGAGCCAGCCAGTGTTGCTTGTCAATTGTGGTTTCGGTTTTTCCACACTAGATTGGATTTTTTCTTGCAATGCAGTATCATTCCAAAATTAATACTGGTGTGCACAGTTTTGTTAGTTTTGCTGTAACTATAGTACTGTTCAAGTGTTCATCCTAATTATTGAGCCATGCATTATACAGTATGACATATACTTCTTGTTGTTCATTTTACAGGAGGGGGCAGTTATGATTCATATGATTCATCCAACACTGTTAAAAACTCAATGTGTGGTTCAAAGGGTCCATTCTACTTCACCTCATCATATGATCAAATCTGGATCAGATTTAAATCAGACAGCCGTACTCAAGACCGTGGTTTTGTTGCTGGTTATGTCCTTTACAAGGACTCAAGTAGGTTCTGCACTTCATTTGATAATAATATTATTACCTTTAATAAAGCTTTATGCTTAATTATTAGAAAGGGGGGCATTCTACCAGATAAAGAGAGTAATGAGAATCATTCAGGGTCCTGTTTTGGTTAACTCTTGTCTTTGATTGTAGTAGTTACCTTATTTATTCGAATAAGCACCCAACCTTGAATTAGCGCCCACTTTGAATAAGCGCCCATACTAAAGGCAGAAAAAGTTAATAAGCGCCCAGCCTCGAATAAGCGCCCACCCCCTCTTCCTCCCAATCAATCTCAAATAAGCACTCACCCCCACCCCACCCACTTGAGTGAATAAATTCTAATAAGAGACTTCCCTGAGGACGGAGTTTTCTTCAGAGTATTTTACAGAAATCTTGCTTTGTACTTCTTCGCGTTTTGTTATTAGCATTTATTGCTTTGTTACAAAATCAACATACTTCACTTGCTGAAAATGGTGAAAATTATTTTAATAAGCGCCCAGCCTCGAATAAGCGCCCACCTCGAATAAGCGCCCACTCTCAAGGTCCAAAAATTTAATAAGCGGCCAGGGTGGTTAATCGAATAAATACGGTAGTTGTATTGATTTCCTTATGTCCTTTGTGTGAGGTGATACTATGATAATGAGTTTGAAACAAAGGGAACATTTTAGACGAGAGATTTTACCACATTATACACAATGCACCACTTCCATTTTACCTTTGTTTAAAGGCCACATTACTTGAATAAGATAACATGAATTTTCTTTCCTCGCTGGTTATTATTTAAGAAACTAAGTTCTTAATTTCTATGCAGGAAAAGATTTAGCCTGCGTAGCAGGCGTCGAAGGGGGTAGGGGTAGGGGATAGGGAGGAAGGGAAAAAAAAGGAAGGGGATTGGGGATTTTCCCTTTCTCCCTCCCCCCTCCCCCTTTCCTTTTTGTGCCTGCCACGCAGGCTAGAAAAGATTTGGATGACTGAAATGTTGTGTATTTTCAAGATCATTGTATTTTCATTTATGATATCATTATAACTTTGTTCTCTTTTAAACAGCAAGTGACTCTTCTGACTCGGATTCCTCTACCAGCTCTCTCCCCGGTATTATTACTGGGATCATAGTTGCATTGATTGTCGGTTGCTGCATTTTCTTCGTGTTTGTGTACCGAAGGAAACGTGCCATGCGACAACGGCAACATATGATGATGACACAAGTTCAAATGCCTCCTCCACAAGCTGGAGTACACCACCCACCCCCGCCCTCTCAACCTGGATATGGACCACCCCCTCCTGTAGGATATGGTGCACCGCCTCCCGCTGGTGCTGCACCAGCCCCAGGATATGCCCCACCCCCCTACAGTCAGGTTGTGGCGGCACCTTATCCTCAGCAAGGTCAGTTGTGTCACAAAATATTAATTAATTTTTTAATTAACTGATCAATTAAGAGGCAGTGTTACCAAGAATTACTACTACAGAAGATTCAATGCGACTGAACTGTAACTAGTTTAACAATAAAATTTCACTACGTCTCCTTGCACAAGGTGCGTGGCAACTGTTTCAGAATTTTTTTGCCTTAGGACAGGTAAAGATCAGAAGTCAACGAGTTGTATTCAAGAGAAAATTCTGGTGTTACTTTGTGCCTACAAAGTTTTCTGTCAAGAAACCAAGCAGATTGCCTCGTCAGATAAAACCTGTCATTCAACAAAACTTCCTAAAAGAAGTTTGTTGTCAAAAGTGAAAAGAAAGGGAAAGTTTAACAGACTACAGCTTGTCCACCTAAACGATCGAAGTAATCATTGCGCCGAAAGCCTTTACCCATTCCCATTATAGTTTCTGGGGATTAATTGGAGGGAGAGACAGCTTACAAAAGTAATGTGTGGAAATGCTGTAAAATTCCGAAAATAAGCCGCTCCTTGTATAAGCCCCTCCAAATATAAGCCCCCAAACCGGTAACGTAAAAAACCCTCCGTTAAATCGCCCCTCCAAATATAAGCCCTTGGGGACTTTTAATTGGAAAACTGCCCTCAAATACAAAATAAAACAAAACAAAAAGGGTTAATTTACTTCCAACTATAAGGCTAGCCCAATCGATTTTGAGACGCAAATTTCGCTCCGTAGATAAGCCCCTCCGAATATAAGCCCCTCAAAAAGGGCCTTTGAAAAATGTAAGCCCCGGGGCTTATTTTCGGAATTTTACGGTATTGGAGAGGGGAATTAGTATAATTTTTGTAACATGATTGTGTTTTTACCAATGATTACATTTTCATATTTAAAGGTAAAACCGGACAATACCCTCCACCGCAGGGTGGGCCAGCACCCTACCCCGTTCAACAGACTGCAGGAGCCCCACCCTACCCCCCTAGTCAGCCAGTAGCAATGGCTCCTTATCCACCAGAGCAGCCAGGAGGGGCACCAGGCTACCCTACAGCTCCACCAGGGGGTGTCGCACCTTACCCTGCTGCTGCATCTGGAGGTACTACCCCCTACCCGTCAGCAGCACCTGGAGGCTCCTCACCCTACCCCCCTGCTCCACCAGGAAATGAGCCTTATCCCACAAAGCAATAGGCTATCAGGTGAGAGATCGACCTTTGTCATTTACGAAATGTGTCCCACAATTGTTTCTGGGATAGTTACTGAGGACACGCCGGTCAGCTATTGGCCAATAGACCTTTCTACCGATATGCAGGCCATACTGAATTAATTCGATTTAAGGAGTATTATAGGATGCCCAGGGGGCATGAGCACATTTGGTTTGTATTTTCGGGCGCTTTTCGGGACATTTTTTCTTAAAGTTTTCTTAGTGTAAGATTTTAATGGGAAAAAAGATCCTTGTGCCGTGTTTGGATGTAATATTTTATAATGATCGCCTTTTTCTAGTTTAGTATTAGAAATATGGTCTTTCACTGTAATTTCGCGGGAAAAAGGCGATCATTATTACATCCTGAACACAGATCGCAGACTAGGTAGAATTAAGTTTGTCTAATTGGCTGGCTTCCATACAATCGTTGGATCGTTTATCTCGTATTTAGATCGCATTCTTTTACACTGCAAAACAGTCGGGTTTTTTCCGCTCAAAATTGGTTTTCAAGGCGCCCGCGTGAGAGTTTCGCGCCGTTAGGTCCTTTCTCTCCTGTCTTACACCTTTTTTCACCCTCGCTCCTGGACTGTTATGTAGTCTACTCTCTCTACGGCTTCATCCACAAGAGACCTGGGTACGAGATTTCCGCCTCGTCCCCAAAAGTAGCCTCCCACGCAGGCGTTTTTAGGGGAGCTCGTTTTTCATCCCTCCCCACAAACGCCTGCTCAACCGAAGACAACATTCCTTTCCCAAGCTTAGCCAATCACATTGTACTTTCCAAATTCTGGTAAGTTGATCTTGACCGCAAGGTAATCTGATAATTACTCGATCTGCATGAAACACTGGGAAAGCTTTCTGACCTCTAATAAATGTTCGATTCAGAGCGGCAAAAATAAGATTTAGTCAAAATTTAGAATACTCCATGCACTCCATAACCTTAGCGAAGGAAAGAAAAGAAGGAAACGGTAACTCTAGGGTCACGTTCAGTCGTGTTGAGCCTGTCAACACTTTATTGCACAATTGTTGATTGGTCACTTACCACGCAAATAAAACAATGGGAAAGGAATGTTGTTTTCCGTTGAGCAGGCGTTTGTGGGGAGGGATGAAAAACGAGCTCCCCTAAAAACGCCTGCGTGGGAGGCTACCCCAAAAGTCGAGGTGAGCGAGACAAGCCATGTGATGATGTGGATACCTGGCTTTATGAAAAGGGAAACGTATCGAATCATGGAATTTATTGTCCATTATTGTCATTGTATAAGATGGCCTGCTGCGAACATCCTTTCTGATTAATGCATCCTCTCTAATCTTGCAGGTGTCGGAATATTTCAGACATCTGAGGCCGATGTTCATAACGCCGTAGGGAAAGTCATTCCACATGTCAGTTGCTACTACAATTAGATAATTAATAGATTGTTTTGTACCCTGCAGGTCAGGTTTTACGGTGCCGTTAAAGGCACCTCGTCCCAGCGGATATATCACGGGCTCTCTATTCGACAGAAAATTGCGGAAACGTTTAAGTTTTTAAAACTGTGATTCACGCTATTAAAATTCTTGGAACAGAGTCGCACAGGAAGCAAAATTACACAAAATACTGGAAGTTGTAATTCCTTGCGTGGTTGCCCTCTTTTTTTTTTGTTGGAAATTTCAGACTGACCTAGAACTTTACCGGAACACTTAACCGGAATTTTTTGTGGAAAACGGTGAGCCCATCACGTGTGTGTGGGTGTGTGTGTGTGTGCGCGCGTTTTTTTTCTTCCTTTTTGTAGTTTTACGCTTTTTAGCCGCACCGTCGCTATTAGCCAAGGAATTTTTATTATTAATTAGTGTAATAAGCGTTATATATGTCATTGTGTACAAAACACTCTACAGTCGGTAGCGTGGTAGTTAAAAATCGTGTCACATCTCAAAGGATGTAACTTCTTATGACGTAGAATTTAATTATAAATTTGGTTAACCTGTTCCCCAGATCCCTCATCGAGCGGGCTTATGAAAATACAAACCGCGGGAGATTTGGTCAGAACTGGCTGGCCAGACCACTTATCTCGAAAATGAAATTCTAGGCTCTTTTGAGACTTAACGCTGGAACCCATTGGATCATTCGTGCGTACCACCATTTAGGAATAGACTGATCTGGCTGGGTAGTCCTGATCAATAGTGGAATTCCCTTTACGACTGAACTGGTCCCCGGAGGGGGGTATTCCCTGTTATGGCCTTTAACGGGGAGGCTCTAATATATATGAAAGGGTAGGGAAATCCGTCATTTATCTTCGGGCTGTAAAAGGGCCCAAAAGGGCTAACCTTTTGGCTAGCAGGTGCATTTTTATGGCTTTGCAAAAAGTCGAGGAAATATTCTGGTTTCGTGATTTATTCATATTTTGGAGACAGTGCATTTACAGCCCTTAAAAGGGACGAAAAGTTCTAAACTAGGTATGTGAAAGGGGTACCATTTGTTAATTAAAGGTTTGCGAAATGGGTACCTTTCCTGTAAAAAATGGTAGTTAAAAGGGAAAGGGGGTTCAACCTCGGGCGGGGTGGAGCCTCGCCATATAAAACTTTATCGACTTGTCCTCCTATTTCTGACTAATGATAAGCGCCCTTTGTTTCAAATGAAGAAACCATTATACTCATTCATTATTTAATCTCACACTTGAAGTGCTGGATGTGAGCATACTGAACAGAAAATTTTTTCTATATTTGTTTCTCTTATATTTCACTGAGAATTTCCTATAATTATTGGTCCTATTGAACTGGTCATTTAGAAGCTGATCACATATCCTAACTATGTACACACTCCTTTATCTAGAGGATAATTGTTGAAATAATGAATCGGTAAAGTAAGAATACATTAGAAGTGCCATGATGTTGGTATTGACTAATATGTGCTAAGTATCTTTAGGGCTTAAGGTCTGCTTTTTTCTTTGTATTTAAAGTAGGGCGTCATATTGTGCTACTGTATGAGTAATAAACTCGTATTACACCTTGACCTTTGTGGAAATCTTTACTGCTAAACAAGGAATAGTGTTCAGAAATAATGAAAAGAGCGGTGTTGCAGTTTATGTTGGTAGCTCCCTGACCGTGCACAGTCCTTTGTTTTCTGTTGACAAATTGTGAGTGATTAAATAAGTGTGATTTTTCTATTGGTCAGGAGGGTAAAAATCATGGGCACCCAACGAGGATATAGTTCAAAACCACTTAACAGCATTGTTGAACGTATTTTAATATTCAAACGGTAGATATAGGCATATTTTTATCCCGTAAAAACTTTTCATCTGTTCGGATTTCCTAGCTGAAAGTCTAGTGATCCGAAAATTATAGGGATTTATAAAATAACTGAGATAGTACGCGTGATCTGATTGGTCAAAAACCTATGGTTTATTATACCGGTAAACCCATAGAAAAAGGCATCCGGACCACGAGCCATAAACAAAACCGCAAACAACGATTTTAGAAAGGCTAAAAAAAACATAACAAGTTACTTACCCAGTCCTTCTTAATATTAAAATAGTTGGTTTCCATATTTTATTACTGAGCATTACAATTCGCTACTGCCATAGCTTCAGAAGTTATAAAGTACAAAGCTGGAAAGCAGTTTACATTTCACGACGATGCCAAATCGCAGAGAAAGACAACAACTGTGTGAATTTCTGGTGTAGAAAGTCTCTAGGAAAACTTAACCACGTGCCAACCAGCAACAAAACGGATAGTTTTAGCATTCTTGATTTATTTTATTTCAAAATTAAATTCCTTAATCAAAGAAATTGTTTCAAAAAGAGATCTCTGATCAAGATATGGTACAAAATCGGCCGCTGGAGGTTGTAAACAAGCTGCCAACGATGATGAAAGATGTCAGAGTTTCGGGCTAGTTTTTTCCAACATTTGCACAAATTATTCGATGATATCGATGCCATGACCTACCTCACACCACCTGACTTCACAAATCGACAAATATTAACGCCAATATGTGGCTACGGCAAAGAAACCTTTCTCCACCACTGACATATTTCCATCGGTCGCTGTACGTGCATATAAAGTTACATGCGACAACTTCGCAAATGCAGCCACGTCGTTACCGCAGCATTTCTTGATCATAATAAAGTCCAGGAAACAGATCTTAAACCACTGCGGCTTGTAAAAAGTGAATGAAGTCCTCCATTACAATAGCTGCCAGTTTCCTCTGTAAGCACGAAATTCTTACGGATCGACTCAACAAAATACAGCTGCGTACAGTCTGATGTTCAATCAATTTCTACTTCTGTAGTAAACAAACCATGAACGTATTCTTTCATTGTACGTTCGCATGAATATGTGTTGACTTTTCCTGTAAAACAGCTTTCATAAGTTATCATGTAATGAGTGCAAAAACTCGTGTTTTGAAGTGCTGCTGTTTGTTGTTTGACTGAACTGAGTTTTGAGAAAGTTTAGCGCTATTAAATCGTGAGTCGTGATTGGCTTATGATGACTTTAGAGAGAAGACATGACTTGATCACGGTACTAAAATCATATTTTTTACCTAAAAGACTCCATTTTATTAAAAGTTATTTTATAAAAGCAATAGACCACACTTTCTATGGGTTTACCGGCGTGATAACCCACTTGGGATGTTGGGAGAACACTCGAAAAGCTTGTAAATCACTCGCCTTCGGCTCGTGATTTACAAGCTTTTCTCGTGTTCTCCCAACATCCCGCGTGGGTTATCACGCCGGTAAACCCATAGAAAGTGTGGTCTATTGCTTAAAAAAACTTACCTTCTCAAAAATTTCAGCCAGGAAATTCTAGGTGACCTTTTTTAGGGTCAAAATCCGTTAAAAATGGGCAATTATACCATTTTGTAGATGTTCGAAAATCCTAGGAGAGGCAGACAAGCAAGAAATTTTACAACAAATGCTCCGAAAATTCTAGATCTCAAATCGTCTTCCGAACAGATATTTTCCCGAAAATTGCAGTTGGGTGCCCCTGAAAAATGGTAAGAACGCTGTGAACGTTGTGTGTGGTGAAGTCCTAAAAAGCTAACACTGAAAAAACATAACAAAGACGTTTGACGGGCCTATGACCGTTAACTGAAAAAAAAAACTGGAACATTTGCAGAGTTAGTGAAAATGTCTAAGAATTGTGATTTTACAGACTTTTTATAAGAGTGCAAATCTTCCCTACTTTTACATGTTTGTAGAATTATTTTTGAAGACATTTTTGCAGAAGATTTTTCCTTGACCGTTACAGTGCACCAATTTCGGTATATTTTAACCAAAAGCAATAGTCACTGAACAAGGCCTATCTGCGGCGCAGCTGCTCCAAACGTTACAGTCTTTGTAAAGGTTTTACTTGGTGAACGTTCTTCTCTTGCCCAAGGCACGTCGAAGGGCTTTTCGTCTTGAGTAGCTACTGATATCCGGTCGGGCGAGACCTCATGTGGTTCTCTCCATGGGTTTGAGATCATAGGTGAGGTACTTGGTGTTTTAGAGCGCCGTCTAAAGCGGTAAAATATATTCTTTCTCGCAAACGTGTTTCTGTCTACGAGCTTTTGGAGAAAAGCCTTTCCAAGAGGTGCTAGAAGAGCCAAGAATATCACCCCAAGCAGGATGAGAACGTTGATTTTATTGCTTTTTTTCCCTGTGAAAGAAATTAGAGAGAACTTAAGCTTGAAATAGAGTTTGTGTTTGCTTTAACTTGTGTAGCTGGCAGGATTGTTATGTGCGGGGAACTTTCTTGGTCCCATCGCCCGCTAATCCCGACAACGACGCCGGCTAGTGTTTGTTTCGATTGCACACGTCTCTAGGACAGACACAAACTTTATGTTACCAATATTCTACCACCGTAAAAATATAATAAGAAACTGTTTAAGAACGTGCTGAAATAGCGTTACTTTTAAAATTACACCAATAGTTTACCAACTGAAGCAATTAAACCTGGAAAAATGCAGATCCTTGAATGCAGTTCTCAGCGGAGATCAATGGGTAAGAAATTAGGTTTTCTATGCCTCCAAGATCGTAAGCCCGTCGGCCCGTACGTCCGCTAATTCATGTTATGGGAAGTGAAATGTCACACTTACTAGCTTTGTAAGTCCAAGGCAAAAACAAATTGTGTTTAACATGATATTAGACGTCCATGTTATGATCAACTGACATCTGTCCAAACAGGGTATTTGCTGACCAGTGTCATGACTGGCTCAGGTGTACAACTCATTGAGGTGAAGTGTGTTTTTAAATTTTTCCCCTGACCTGTTATGGTATTTAAAAGTGATCGCAGGCTCTAGAAAACTGTATTTAAGAAAGAAGTAACTTTAAAAAAAACCACTAGAGCATCGCTTTTGGCCTTGGCTAAATCAATGTATTACTGTCATGTTACTGTTGAACTTTAATGGCACCATTCTTACCTATGCTGTAAGTAACAAATCCAGCCATGAATCCTCTATTTCCTGTCATCGCGTGGCTTTTGAATTGAATAAATATCGTATCATCTTCAATTATCAGGATAAGGGGTGGTTTGGTTCCACATTGTTTAGATTGCGTTACGGGCTTTCTTTGGTTGGAGCTAAAGCCTTTGGAAATTGATATGAAGAAAAAAGTGAGAAAAAAAAAGTTACTATTGTGAACTATTCATATCTACATGGATCACACTCCTGCCTGGGTTAGCAAAAAAATTTGTAATTTATCTCATTTTCCTTTGTCTTAGTTTGTCTACTGGGTTGTTCCTTAACGCCGTATCTTTTCTTGGTTGTTTCGTGGCTAGGGATTTTTTAGAAGTGGCTTTAGACAGAATTTCGTGAATTTCGATCTGTTTACTCCCCCCCCGTCTGTCCCCCTTGGTCTTTTCCCGTCCCTACCCAAAATAGCATTACAGTTATAGATAGGTTAGGGTTAAGGTTAGTTTTTAGGGTTAGGGTTGGCGGTCACGGTTAGGGTTAGAGTAAGGATTAGGGTTAGGGCTAACTTAAACCACTAACGTAATACGAGAAGGGGATGCTGATATCACAAGAGTTTTGGGAATGGGGATGCCCATATCACTGTTAACAGCGCCGGAAACTTGTTGGGCCCGAAGTCAAATTTTAAAATCAAAACCTGTTTGATATCAGCACAGTTCCTAGCCCACAAACCGGTTAATTTTGCTTCGTTAAGTGATACTTTCATTGTATCATTTTCAGAATTACTGAAACGTAAATCTTGAATGCAAACACGGCAAACATAAAACTGCTTTCTGGGCCTTTCGAGAAACTTGTCCCAGGTCTGTAAGACCATTTTTACCTCCGTCCCACTGACCACTTTAGAAAGGAGAGAAAAACTGGGTTTAGTTAACATTGGCAAAGACTTCTGGGTACTGGGGGCAGGGAAAACAGCCCAACAGCGCATCCTCAGTAACGATCCCGGAAGTCTTTGCAAAAGCTAACTCGGCCCAGTTTCCTTCTCGTTTTCTAGTTTTCGCTTGAGACTGGGTCGTCTGTGTCGAATTGCATGTTTAGTGAAAAAATTTTGACCCAGCTTCTTGCACAGCCTCATCAACAACACCTACCCATTCTCACGCTCACAGCCTCAAAATAGCTAAGAGATGGCCATTGTAGAGGGGGTCGACTGTAATACGAATCAACGAACAGGGGACAGTTATGGCCTATTCCGTGATCTCTGTTTTTTTTCGCACTTAGTAAATCAAAGATGCCGACCACCCAGTAGGTGCTGTACTCGGCAAAAAGAAAATGGCCTGCACTATCCATTCTTTTTTTTACTATTATTAGAATTTGTGCTCTCATTGAATACCCTACCTCTTGTTTTCACTTCTATAAAATCAGCTTCTGCACATTTGTCACTCGATCTAACATCAAAGTCAAAGAACACCAGTTTCACATGGAAACCAGGCCTGGTGGTAACGCGCCATACACAGTCCACGTACCGGGGGTAGGGTAGGGGCCAATGAGGGGAGAAAATATTTCCATTCTTTGCGTAAGCGTGGTTATCTTTGCCGCATCCGACTGAAAGGTATAAATATTTTCGTACGTTAACCGGAAGTCCCTAAGGGCGAGTATTGATAAGAAAAATTTTGATGGCTTCGTAATGGTGTACTTACAATTATCTTGAGATACAGCTGAAAGGAAGAATTAAGAAAGTAATCATTTAATTTGCTATAAATTACGTTACGTTCGCTACGTGTTTAATGTTAAGTCATTTGCGAATTGGATCAATCGTGACATAGACTAAAGAGACAAAAGTGAAAAAAGCTTTATAAAAGAAAAAATTGAGTTGTAAACTGTACCCTGTGCAGAAGTATGAAAATCTCACCTGTTGAGTCAATCTTCCTTTTCTAACGTCATCTCACCAAGGGACCCGTTTATACACCAATCGCACGTCTCCCATAATATACCTTATTTTGCATAGGCATTGTTTTCAATTTCCCCTGGGACATCTGTAATGCCCAGGAGAAATAAAAAACAAAGGTTATGCAAATTTGTTTTGGGGGCGGGGGGGGGGGGGGGGTTTGGAGGGGGGCGGGGGGGAGAGAAGAAAAAAAGGTGCATTATGGGAGATGTGCAAGTGGCGTATATGGACATAACTTAGCCCGGGTAGAAGGGGAACTCGCCTAGACCAGCTATCCTCAATAGAAAAAAAAATTAATAAAATAATAAACAAACAAACAATCAGGGTATGTGCGTGTGCTGTTGACAGCTCTTGGCTTGCTAAAGTTCACCGGGCTTGGAGTGTGACCCTCTTTCCCGGGACAACGTTCCTCCAATATAAACGTGCAGGGTATTTAAGGACAAGGTGTGCCGGAGTAGTGTGTGTTGTGGTAGGAGGGCAGTTTCTTAGTGACTAGTCCTGATGCTGTTAAACAAGTTCAAATCCTGTTACCTGTTGAGAGTAATCGTTGCTTATAGATAGCTTGAAACATGGAGCGTCGTCTAGGTATGATGGCCATAAAAAAGTGAAAGACGATTTGAAGGCAGTGATCTGAAGAATACACTACAGGTAGTAGAGTCTGACCGCAAAACTTGCCAATAGACTTGGAGTTGTTACAACCGAGGAATAACTCTATATAATCTCCATCTAAGCATGTTGGCATAACTCCAGTCATATTGAACCTCACAAATGTCAGTTCCACATGTCGAGGTTCGGCTGTTTCTTGTAGCTCAATATTCCACCTGCATTTGAATTCAGAAATATGAAGTTGCCTCTGTGGTGGAGTAAGGCTGGTTATTGTTCCGTTTAGGCCTGAGGCAGTTGTGCCACATCCTGCGAGAGAATATTGCACAAGACATTAATTGATTAGAGTGGTTTTCGTTTGAGTGTCGTAAAACCAAAACCAAAGTAATTACTCTGGCCAATCACATAGGACACAGACAATACATTGAACCAATCAAACTCGAAGTAATTACATGTGGCTGACGCAAAGCGCGGGAAAATGCATGCGAGCGCGTCACAATTGGCTTTGGTCTTACTTCTGATTGGATGAAAAGGTGGCGCGAATCTTTTAAGCCAATCGCATCGTGTAGAAAGTGCAAAACCAATTGCTTTTGGACACTCAAATGAAAACCGCTCTATTACGTTTCAATAATACAGCCAAAACATCTGAAACATTCCGGTCCTTGTAACTTCATGCAATGCAATGTTACATTGCAAATTGCATAAAATGTATTGAGGGTGTAGTAGAATGTTATAGAATCGTATTGTCGTTGAAGGACAATTTTAGGGACATGAGGATTTTTCTTCCACCCAGCGCGTAGTCTTCCAACCAACAGTTATGAAATGATATGTTGAGGGAACAACGTTAATTACAGTTCAACCTTTCTTGAATGCCACTCTTTGTTAAGCAGCCAGCTTAAGGAAACTAGAATGTCTAACCATTTTTAGATGTCACAACAAAGGCAGCACATTCTCCTCAGTTATTTTAAGACCGTGAGTGTTGGTCCGGCCGGGGTTTGAACGTTCGTCAGACCGGCGGTCATCCGATCTCAAGCAGATGTCTAATTCTCCTTCTCCTTCCCCTGCTAAAAGGGGAAGGAGGAAATATGGTTTATGAGGACGAGCACTTGACTTTCATGAATGAGTTCCCCGATATATCTAGATAATTCACAAGCAGTAGAGAAAAGATTGAAAGGATGAGTTAAAAACATTATTACTCTTTCACTTATTAGGTTTTCCTTGTTTCTTTTTTTTTTTCGAAAGTGTTTTTTTTTTTCACATTTGAATTTTACTATTGAACAGGTTCCACGCATTACCTCCGAATTAATTTTAAAAATTGTGCTAATCCAGCTGCATGTCACTAAGGAAGGAAACTAAATAATGTAATTCAACTCATGTTGGCGTTCATGTTGCTGGAGGATGGTCTCGTCTCCGACCGCCGCAAAACGTCTCGAAGCTCCAGTTATGGTCAAGCAGTTCCATCTAATGTTCAAAGGGAGATTGAAGGGTGCTTCCTTCCCACCCCCGCTCATGAATCAGCACCTTGGGATCAGAGATAATATGTTCTTTAGCTAGTTTTACTCCTGCTGACGTTCACTCTCTTTTTTTTCTCGAATGAGCTTCTCGTAGGTCATTATATTTACGTACCAGCTGAACCATTTCTTTCTCTTACGTTTTTGAATTCTTTTTTTGTTACGGTATAGTATAGCTGTGATAACGACCTCACAGCTCATCTTCCTCTATAGAGTGTTGTTTCTTCTAATATAGTCTCGCTGGGTTTGAACGAGTCTTTGTGACACTTCACTCGAACACTTATAGTGCTCAGCACCATTTTTCCTACAATTAAACGAATAATACTTCTGTATTAAAACGATTCCTCAAATCATGACTTCTGCCAAGTTTCTCTGGCAACAAAAACATGGAGTTTGGTTTGTTTTTGTGTGGATGCTGACAAATGAATCAAATATTAGCCAGTATATTCAGTTTAGGGAAGGGTACTCTAGCAAATCATATTTTTAACAAAGCCTACTATAAAAGACGGCATCAGTTTTGGAGAGTACATCATGGTGCGCCGAAGTCGAGCAAATAAAAAATATATGCCTACCTCCATCTTCTCTGGCCACAAGGATTACTATCACCGTCGTCAAAGCGAAGATCAAGCCGTAGATAAAATTCATCTGCTCTTCGTTTAAAACTCACTACGAAGATATTTCATCGAAAAAGTGTCAATTGCCGAAAATATTCAGCTCTCGGTTAAATAATTTTTTAGACAAACCATTAGTTTAAAAGGTATGCTTGCACCTTTAGTAAGTATTCCCGAAGAGGGTAGACTGTCAGTACAGTTATTGAAGTTAATCCAGCGATTAACCCCAAAACACTAACAAATATTCACTGAAATGAAGGTTTTTTCTGATCTTGAATGCCTTTTAAGGCTTGAACTAGTGATAACATAAGTTGTACTTCCTTCCGCTGTAGCTAGATTAAAGACGTACGTCCTTTTTTTACCGCGTATGTTTCTCATAACCAAGTACTTATCGATGCTCATTACTGGTCGTTCAGCATTTTTCTTAAATATTCAGTTTTAAGTCTATTTTCCCTAATGGCCTTGTTTCCGAGTTGATCAACTTTAACTTGAAGAAAATTCGGAAGCATATGGAGTGCTTTTGAATCGCCACCAATATTAATATTTGAATAAGAAATGGATAAAAACAAACTAAATAAGAAGAATCGAAGAGATGATCAAAACTTTTCACTCAATAAACCTTACCTTCTAAAACGCAAGTTTGATAACGATAAGACGATCAATTGTAACATTCTTAAGTTCCTTTCAATTTCACAGAGGGAATTTTTCTTCTCTGATCTTCTCGAATTTTAAATACATGCAAGTAAATTATTCATCGCGTGTTTTCACCAGCAAACTGAGGATTTTTAATTAGCGAAAATTGTTGCTTTATTCGCAAATAAGCGCTAAAAGCTTACAGGCATGACAAGTTGTCAATTTAGTGCTATTAGAAATGGACCAGGCGTGTTATTGACCTACTGATTATCGGCGTTTATGATTGAAGTTTGCTTCCACCGCGTTTCCGCCTAAAAAGTCTATTTTCCGTTCATTGGTGTCATTTAATTCGCAATGGGAAGCAGTTTGTTTTAAGGTTGTTGAGTGAGGGATCATTATGTAAATTTCATTTCAACCGACTGCCACGCAAGACCGTTTGTCGGGAATTCAAAATTGTACATTTCTAGCACACGCTAATGCCATTAAACGGTAACAGCCAATTAAAAAGTTCGAACCACTTTGAAAGGCAGCAACTTTTTAAAGCTTGGTGGAGGAAGAGTGGTTTTTGATCTCATTATATTTTAAACTGAATTTATTCTTTCTTGTGCTTTAAGGAAAAGGTATTGTCTAGCGCGGCTTTTAAGAACTAGTCTTTTCAAAAAAGAATTCTCAAAAGAGTTTAGTAAAAATATGGTAATTTCTCGAATACTCGTAATGTTTACATTTTGTTGAAAAGAAAAGAAGTTAATAGTATAATTAGCAACAAAGTGTAATGAACAGACATTTCCTTTTATTCACATAACTCCAATCTTTATTTTTTCACAAACCGCGTGCTAAGCGAAAAAGGAAAATTATGCAGAATAATGATAATTCCGCCATCGTTCCCACCCTCGTTCCTTACGGCCACCTGTCACGTGTGCTTTCTATCCACTGTGACTCAAACAAAAAATAAGAGACTGCCAGCAATCGAAGTTTTCCAAACTACTTAAAGTAACATACCTAATGGGGATGGATCAGTTTCCCTACCGTAGTATATTTAAACATGATGACTGACGTATAAAAGGTCAGACGAAGAAATTATTACAGCGTAAATCTTAATCTGAATTTAAGGGTGTACATATGCTAGCTGGAAAGAGAAGAGTTATAAATTAAGCTGATGCCTGATTTTCAACTTACAGCCGTGAAAGAGTGTTCACGTTTAAAACATTGTACATGGTTTAAACTAAATTTTCACATAAAAGACGGAGCTCTGGCGTATCATCAGAGGTACTGAAATCAACGTTTCTCTCACAACGAACCGCGGTTCGACGCTAGGGCAAGGTAAAACGTGCAAAAAAAACGTGCAACTTATTTTGCGACATTATTGCAACTGAACGAGTTCAATAGCGATGTTGCACGTTTTACTAGCCACCAATCAAACCTGTCTTATAACAGCATGTATGTTTTGTTTTCCCAGTGGAGGTCCCTGGGGAACTTAGCCCTTTGTCTTTTCATAATTTATGTGTGGAAATGCACGTGAATAAGACGAACTTTGAAAGAAACAGTTCTCTAGGGTATTATCACATGACCTGTATTGGGAAAACAAAACATACAAGCTAAATAGGTCTACTCAGCTTGTTGCAAGTTACGTGAATACTGATTTCTGATTGGACAAACGTTACGTTACGTTACCTGCTGCAAAAAAATTTTGCCTTGGGCCGGTAAAACGCGCAACATGTGCAGATTTTGTTGCAAAACGTATAACTTTTTCCCTACATTCTGCAACAACCTGTATTGTTGCCGACAGGTTTAAACGTGGCCAGTAAAACGTTCAACTCATTTTGCAGCAATGTTGCAAAGTGAGTTTGACGTTAAGGTGGCTCGACTGGGTTTTTAGAGGGGATACCTCCCAAGTTTGAACATTAACTACGTCGGCGTAAGTAAAGATATGAAAAAAAGGTTACCACAACAGTATTATATAACTGTGAGTACTTTTGAGTATCATATAAAAAAAATTCTTACGGGTTTTATTGCAATCGAAGTCGCCATGACAATGTAATGACGCCATTACGTTTTTTATTTATCTTTGTGTTTCTCTCTGACCATCAGATGTTCTGCTCTTCCACCATAAGATTTTCCACCGTTTAACAATAAGATGTTAGACTGTTCCGCAGTCTGTGTTCCACTGTTCGACAATTAGATGTGTGACTGTTCCACAATCAAATGTTCCACTGTTCCACCATCTCTGTTCCACTATTCCACTGTTCCGCTGTTCTACTGTTCAACCATCTCTGTTCCACTCCTCCACTATTAGATGTTCTAGTGTTCCACCGTTAGATGTTCTAATGTTCACAATCAAATGTTCTACTGTTCCACCAATAGATGTTCCACTGTTCCACCAGCTCTGTTCCACTGTGCCACCATCTCTGTTCCTCTGCTTCACCATCACATGTTTCACTGTTCCACCATCTCTGTTCCACTGTTGTACCATTAGATGTTCTACTGTTCCACTATGATTGTGCACTGTTCCACCATCAGATGTTCTACTGTTTCACCATCATCTCTGTCCCACTGTTCCATTATCAGATGTTCCACATTTACACCATCCGATGTTCTAATGTTCCAACTCGAGATGTTCCACTGTTGTACCATCAGATGTTCCACTGTTCCACCATCAGATGTTCTACTGTTGCACCATCGCAGTTCCACCGTTCATCCTTTCGATGCTCTACTGTTCCACCAACAGATGTTCCAGTGTTCCACCATCAGGTGTTCCACTGTTCCACCCCTGGGGGGTACTGCCATATATGGGCTATATAGGTATGTGCCGCTGTGAAGGGTATGGTTTTCAATCAGTTCACTCTAGGATCAGAGCGTTTGGGTCTAGAATAGGGTATCATTTTTCAGGAAACTGATCAGTTGGTTGAAGATTTTATCTAGACTAGGGATTGTGGTATAAGGTTTTGTTTTGACTAGACTGTGCTAGTGACCTCAGTAGTTTCTGGAAAACAGCTACTCTAGGATAGGGGGGATTTGGGGAGTTTACTCTAGTATAGGGTAGCAAAATTCAGCTGAACTAGCTTTAGTATAGGTTAAGGGTTCCAGAGTCCCAGCGGCACATCACCACCCAGAAATTCCTAAAGTACCCCCGAGAGTTCCACCATCATCTCTGTTTCACTGTTCCACCATCAGATGAAACATTGTTCCACTATCAGATATTCTACTGTTCCACCGTCTGAATACCACTGTTAATCCATTCGATGCTCTACTGTTGCACCATCAGATGTTCCAGTGTTCCACCATATCTGTTCCATTGTTCCACCATCAGACGTTCCACTGTTCCACCATCTCTCTTCCACTGTTGCACAATCAGATGATCTAACGTTCCGCCATCTCTCTTCCACTGTTGCACAACCAGATGATCTAATGTTCCGCCATGCATCTCTATTCCACTGTTCCACCATTAGATGTTCTACTGTTCCACCATCGGATGTTCCACTGTGCCACCATTAGATGTTCGACTGTTCTACAGTCTCTGTTCCACTCTTCCACCATCAGATGTTTGACTGTTCCACAATAAATGTTTTACTGTCCCACCATCTCTGTTCCAGTGTTCCACTGTTCTAGTGTTGAACCATCTCTGTTCCACTGTTCCACCATCAGATGTTCCAATGTTCCACCATCACATGATCTACTGTTCCACCATCAGATGATCTACTGTTTCACCATGCCTGTTCCACTTTTCCACCATCAGAAGTTCTACTGTTTCACCAGAAGATGTTCCACTGTTTCACAATCATATGTCCTACTGTTCCAAAATCAGATGTTCTACTGTTCCGCCATCTCTGTTCCACTGTTTCACCATCAGATGTTTTACTGTTCCAAAATTTCTGTTCCAATGTTCGGTCATGACTGTTCCACTGCTCCACCATAATATGTTCTACTGTTCCACCATCTCTGTTCCACTGTTCTACCATCTGATGTTCTACTTTTCCACCATCTCTGTTTCACCGTTAAACCATCAGATGCTTTACTGTTCCACCATTAGATGTTCCCCTGTTCCAATATCTCTGTTCCACCGTTTTACCCTCACATGTTCTACTGTTCCACCATCAGATGTTTCACTCTTCCACCATGATTGTTCCACTGTTTCACCATCAGGTGTTCTACTGTTCCACCATCTCTGGTTCACTGTTCCACCATGTATTTTCCACTGTACTACCATCACATGTCCCACTGTTCAACCATCAGACGTTCTACTGTTGCATAACAAGATGTTCTACTGTTCCACCATCAGATTTTCCATTTATCAACCATTATTTTTCCACTGTTCCACCATCAGATGTTCTAGTGATCCACCATCATGTCTGTTACACCGTTCCAATGCGTATTTTCCAGTGTACTACCATCAGATGTTCCACTGTTCCACCATCAGATGTTATACTGTTCCATCACCAGATGTTTAATTGTTCCACCACCTCTGTTCCACTGTTCCACCATCTACGTTCCATTGTTTCACTGTTACATGTTCTACTGTTCCACAGTCAGAAGTCCGACTGTTCTACCATCACTTGTTCTACTGTTCCACCATCAGATTTTCTAATGTTCCTCCATCTCTGTTCCACCGTTAAACCATCAGATGGTCTAGTGTTTCACCATTAGATGTTCTACTGTTCCACAATCTCTATTCCACTCTTCCACCATCAGACGTTTCGCTGTTTCACCATCTCTCTTTTACTGTTCCACAATCAGATGTTCCACTGTTCGACCATCATATGTTCTGCTCTTTCAGCATCTCTCCTCCACTGTTCCGCCATCAGATATTTCACTGTTACACCATCTCTGTCTCACTGTTTACCCATCAGATGATCTACTGTTCCGCCATCTCTGCTCCACTGTTCCACCATAAGATGTTCTACTGTTCCACCATCAGATGTTCCACTGTTCCACCATGATTATTCCACTGATATATCATCAGAAGTTTTACTGTTTCCCAATGTATTTACCACTATTCCACCATGAGATTTTCACCATCAGAAGTTCTGCTGTTCCACCATCAGATGTTCTAATGTTTCACCATCTCTGTTCCACTCTTCTACCATCAGACGTTCCACTGATCCAGCACCAGAGGTTTTACTTTTTCACCATTCGATGTTTTACTGTTTCACCATCTCTCTTCCACTGTTTTACCATCTTTCGTCCACTGTTCCACAATGAGATGATCTACTGTTCCGCCGTCTCTGTTCCCCTGTTCCACAATAAGATGTTCTACTCTTCCACCATCTCCTTTCCACTGATCCATCATCAGATGTTGTACTGTTGCACCATAAGATTCTTACTATTCCACCATCATCTCTGTTCCACTGTTACACTATCAGATGTTGCACTGTTCCACTGTTACTGTTCAACCATTAGATATTCTAATGTTCAAACTTGAGAAGTTCCACTGTTCTATCATCAGATGTTCCACTGTTCCATCATCAGATGTTGTTACTGTTCCATCATCTGTGTTCTACTGTTCCACCATGTTTTTCCACTACAAAAAAATCAGAGGTTCCACTGTTCCACCATCATATGTTCTACTGTTTCACTAACTCTCTTCCACTGTTCCACCTTTAGATGTTCCACTATATCTGTTTTACTGTTCCACCATCAGATGATCTACTGTTCCGCCAATTGTGTTGCGCTGTTCCACCATCTCTGTTCCAATGTTTTATCATAAGATGTTCTACTGTTCCACCATAAGATGTTCTACTGTTCCACCAGCAGAAATTCAACTGTTCCACCATCTCTGTTCCACTGTTCCACCATAAGATGATCTACTGCTCGCCAACCTCTGTTCCACTCTTCCACCATCAGATGTTCTACTGTCTCACCATCTCTGTTCCACCGTTCCACATTTAGATGTTCCACTGTTCCACCCTATCTGTTCAACTGTTCCACCATTACATGTTCTACTGTTCCGCAACTTTGTACCACTGTTCCACCATCTCTGTTCCACTATTCCACTATGATATGTTCTACTGTTCCACCATAAGTTGTTCCACTGTTCCACCATCAGATGTTCTATGGTTCAACCATCAGATGTTCCACTGTTCTACCATCATCTCTGTCACACTGTTTCACCATGTATTTTCTATGTTCCACCTTGAGATAAAACATTGTTCCAGTATCAGATGTTCTGCTGTTACACCATCTTAGTTCCAATGTTCCAAAATCTCTTTTTCACTGTTTCAGCAATATATGTTCTACTGTTGTACCATCATATGTTCCACTGTTCCACCATCAGATGTTTTACTGTTCAACCATCAGATGTTCTGCTTTTCCACCATCAGATGTTAAACTGTTACACCATCATCTCTGTTGCACTGTTCCATTATGTATTTTCCACTGTTCAACCATCAGATGTTCCACTTTTCCACTATCAGATGTTCTACTGTTCGAACATCAGATGTTCTAGTGTTCCACCACCTCTGTTCCACTGTTCAATCATCAGATGTTCTACTGTTCCACCATCGGATCTTCCACTGTTCCACCATAAGATGTTCTACTTTTCTACATTCTTTGTTCCACTGGTCCACCATCAGATGTTTGACTGTTCCACAATCAGATGTTCCACTGTTCCAACATCTCCCTTCCCCTGTTCCACTGTTCTACTATTCAACCATCTCTGTTCCACTGTTCCACCATAAGATGATCTACTGTTCCGCCATCTCTGTTCCACTCTTCCACCATAAGATGTTCTACTGTTCCACCATCTCTGTTCCACTGCTCCACCGTTAGATGTTCTACTGTTCCACCATCTCTTTTTAACTATTCCACCATAAAATCTTCTACTGTTTCACCATTAGATGTTTCACAGTTCCACCATCTCTGTTACACTGTTCCACCATCTTAGTTCCACTGTTTCACCATATCTGTTCCACTGTTCCACGGTTAAATGCTGTACTTTTCCACCATCAAATGCTCAATTGTTCCTCTGTTCCTCTGTTCCACCTTCAGATGTTCTACTGTTCCACAATCACAGTTCCACTGTTCCACGATCGCTGTTCGACTGTTCCACCATTTGATGTTCGACTGTTCCACTATTAGATGTTTCACTGTTCCACCATCTCTATTCCACTGTTCCACCATCAGATGTTCTAGTGTTCCGGGATAAGATGTTTTACTGTTCCTCCATGATATGTTCCACTGTTCCACCATGATTGTGCCACTGTTTCTCCATCAGATGTTCTACTGTTTTACCATCATCTCTGTTCCACTGTTCCAGTGTCAGATGTTCCACATTTCCACAACCAGATGTTGTAATGTTCCAACTCGAGATGTTCCACTGCTCCACGATCAGATGTTCCACTGATCCACCATCAGATGTTCTAGTGTTCCGCGATCAGCTGTTCCACTGTTCCACCATCAGATGAAACATTGTTCTACTTTCAGACGTTGTACTATTCCACCATCTCATTTCCAATGTCCCAGTGTTCCACCAATAGATGTTCTACTGTTCCACCATCATCTCTGTTCCACTGTGCCATTATGTATTTTCCACTGTTCCACTATAAGATGATCTACTGTTCCGCCATCTCTGTTCCACCCTTCCACCATAAGATGTCATACCGTTCTACCATTTCTGTTCCACTGTTCCACCGTTAGATGTTCTACTTTTCCACCATGTCTTTTTTTACCGGCGGGGCTAAAGTACAGGTCACAGGTCACAGGTCAGGTTACAGGTCACAGGCCACAGGCCAGGTCACAGGTCAGACCACAGGCCACAGGTCAGGTCACAGGTCAGATCATAGGTCACACACAAAAACAATGGGACACTGGACAAAACTGTTCTTGATTGACATTTTATTATACAAAAATAAAACAAGCCAAGGAACGTCAATTATATTTTTTCTGTCCTGAACTTTACCAAATCCCACACATGTGAAAATATATTCATGTTGATCACGCAAGGATGACTTGCGTTACAGCGTAACCAAAGTTAGAAACGAAATCACAAAGGTACGCAAAATCACGTGATTTGTTAGAAAAAACGAATCTCAAAACGAAGGGTTGTTGCGTTTAGCATATCATGACGTGTTTGTGGATGTTTTGAAATGCATTCGACGGGAAAACGGAAGAAAAACTTAAGGACAGTCTAAAACTTATTTGACCACTGAAATACGGCAACTTTCTTCAGACTTTCCTCATCCTAAACTCTTCTTGCCACTAGATCGGTCTTCCATCTCTTTTGAAGATGGCGGCCTGCTACTCGCGCTTCCTACCAGTCACAAAATACTGCTGTGTTAAAGTGTAGTCGGCTAAGAACATCAGACACTGCTATTTGGGCCTCTCGGATAGTTGCTAGACCATATTTCTTAGCTCTTCTCCCAAGAGCTTGCCATTTTCTCACGCTCTGTTGCACAGCTTGAAAAACCTCTGTTGGATTTGCCTCGTGGGCCTTAGGTGGGAGCATTCTGCCATTACTACTTGAATCTTTGACTCTGTAAACCGCTGATGTATCAAAGGATTTCAGTGCTGCATTTCAATGACTTGCTCCAAGTTATCTTGGCTGCACGGTTTATTTGGAGATGACATTCTAATAACACGACAACACTTCGTTTTCAGTGAAAAACATGTGATTTGTCTTTCGTACAAATCACATGATTTTGCACACCTTTGTGATTTCGTTACGAAGTTTGGATATGCCGTATGATCAGCACGAAAATATTATTCCATGTGTGGCATTTAATATTGTTTAACGGACAGAAATATCATCAAGGTTCCTTGGCTTATTTTATTTTTGTATAGTAAAACATCAGTCCAGAACAGTTTTGTCCAGTGTCCTATTATTTTTTGTGTGACCTGTGATCTGACCTGTGGCCTGTGACCTGTGACCTGTGGCCTGTAACCTGACCTGTGACCTGCACTTTAGCCCCGCCGTCCACCTTCTCAGTTCCACTGTTTCATTATGTCTGTTCCACAGTTCCACTATTAGATGCTGTACTGTTCCACCATCAGATGTTCCATTGTTCCACCATTTCTGTTCCACTGTTCAATCATCAGATGTTCTACTCTTCCAACGTAAGATTTTCCACCGTTTAACGATAAGATGTTAGACTGTTCCACAATCAAATGTTCCACTGTTCCACCATCTCTGTTCCACTGTTCCACTGTTCCACTGTTCTACTGTTCAACCATCTCTGTTCCACTCTTCCACGATTAGATGTTCTAGTGTTCCACCATCAAATGTTCTACTGTTCCACCATTAGATGTCCTCTATTCCACCATCTCTGTTCCACTGTTCTATCATTAGATTTTGTACTATTCCACCATCTTTGTTCCACTGTGCCACCATCTCTGTTCCTCTGTTTCACAGTCAGATGTTCTACTGTTCCACAATCTCTGTTTGACTGTTCCACCATTAGATCTTCGACTGTTCCACTATGATTGTGCACTGTTCCACCATCAAATGTTCTACTGTTTCACCATCATCTCTGTTCCACTGTTCAATCATCAGATGTTCCACATTTGCACCATCAGATGTTCTAATGTTCCAACTCCATTGTTGCACAGCTGCAACGTTTACTGTTTCTTACATAACATAATCAAACCAGAAAACATTTTCACTTGCCTTCGGTTGAGTCATCAGTACGTGTTCATGTATATTGCCATCTGCCCGCGCTTAAACAAATCTCGTTTTTAAAAAACTTGCCTTTGATTTTCTCCTTCGCTGAATCAACCGTTTTCTGTCTTCAGGCAAATTGGTCTTACAACCAGGACTCTTACAACAAGAGGTCTTACAACCAGGACTCTTACAACCAGGGGTCTTACAACCAGGGGTCTTACAACCAAGACTCTTACAACCAGGAGTCTTACAACCAGGGGTCTTACAACCAGGACTCTTACAACCAGGGGACTTAAGACTACGAGTAGTCCCCCATTTTTCCTCAGGGATAGTAGAGCGAGCAAAACGCGAGCGCGCGTGCAATCACCCCACGCGAGAAAAGGCGACACGCGGCGGAGAGAGAGAAAAATGAGGGACTACAGACAAAGCCCAAGCTTTTGACCCTTCACGGCCGACTGATTTTGGAGTGTGAAGTGTGCATCCTCTTCCAAATCAATTAAGCGCATCCAATGGGATTCCTTCCCTCATTGAGCTGTCATTGCTCTTGTCATCGGTAAACTGCGGGCCGGGGATATTTATTGCAAGCAAAAGAAAACCCAGATACTAATTTTCTTCACGGCTGTTTCGCGTGAAGAACTTGATAGTGTAGGCAACACACGACTTTTACGCATGGTAAAATGCTGTTTGTTCCAATAGTTTTTTTTTCCCAGACGGGTAGATTATTCTCTGGAGGAAAACGTTTTGACTGAGCAAATGTGATTTATGCCTCTTAGTCATACTGAAAGGTCGTGACACGCATATTAATTTTCTGCGGTTATTGTTATGGTCGGCATGATTTGCCCTCTGATGCAAGAGCATTTTCTTTGACCTCTTTTGAAAAGTAAAGCTCTTCAATGCGGCCAAATAAGGGTTTTGTGTTGTTTAATTTCTCCGGCGATTACCTCCTGGATCTCAATAATTTTAAGCGATTTTCTTTTTGGCTGTGAATGTAACGGTTTCCTACAATGTTTTGTCACGCTGGGCCCAGCTCGTTAGCGTTTTTAGCACGCGGATAGTGATATCCAAATCTCGAAGAATGGATTGCAGCTTAAACTAAAACTACATCAACTATGGAGAACTGCGATGTGAATTTTAACTACCGCTTGTTTTTCTGGAGATAATGTGAGTCTTTGGACTGGAGTGCGTAGTTCCTCCCTTGATAACTTTTGAAAAAGCTTACATTTGTAACAGCCTTGCGACTGTTCTGTTTTTCCCACTTTGTGATCAGGCAAGACCATGGTTTCGGTTCTCCACGCGAACCTCATCAGTTGCCGGGTTGGCTTTCTTCTTAGTTGCTGCAACAAGAGCAATTCTAGTTATATGTTCTGCTCTAGTTATTTGTTCTGCAAATTATGATTATGTCAAGTGTTGATAGCGGCTGGCGCGTTTTTGACAGATGTTGACAGATTTCCATGGAAGAGCCAATCAGAGTTTTGCGTTGTGAGAGCAACGCATTAGTTCAAAAGCTTGGGCTTTGTCTGTAGTCCCTCATTTTTCTCTCTCCCCGCCGCGTGTTGCCTTTTCTCGCGTGGGGTGATTTTCCACCCGCTCGCGTTTCGCTCGCTCTACTATCCCTGAGGAAAAATGGGGGATTACTCGTAGTCTAAGGGGACTTAGAATCAGGGGTCTTACAACCAGGACTCCTAAAACCAGGGCCGAGTTGTTCAAAGCTGGGTTAAGATAACCCAGGGTTAGCGCGAGATTTGAATTCAGATTTGAAAGCTTAAAAAGCATTTCCGTTTCAATTCTTTTTGTCTACAAGTTGATGATTGGAAGCTCTAAAAATAACAGAGAAAATTATCCGAGAAAATGCTTTAGAACACAAGAAAGAGAAACCCGGGTTAAATTTTACCCCCGGTTAAGCGCTAATCAGCCTTGGAATAACTGGGCCCAGGGGTTTTACAACCAGGGGTCTTACAACCAGGACTCTTACAACCAGGGGTCTTACAACCAGGACTCTTACAACCAGGGGTCTTAAAACCAGGACTCTTACAACCAGGGGTCTTAACACCAGGACTCTTAAAACCAGGACTCTTACAACCAGGGACCAGTTGCTCGTAGCCTGGTTAACGCTAACCGTTTGTTAAGAGGTATCAAAATGTATAGGTTTCCATGGCATTTAACGCTGGTAAGCAGTTACCATGCTTCAAGCAACCCGGGCCAGGACTCTTACAACCAGGGGTCTTAACACCAGGACTCTTAAACCCAGGACTCTTACAGCCAGGGGTCATACAACCAGGACTCTTACAACCAGGACTCCTACAACCAGGGGTCTTACAACAAGGAATCTTACAACCACGACTCTTACAACCAGGGGTCTTACAACAAGGAATCTTACAACCAGGGGCCTTACAACTAGGGTCTAAAAACCAGGACTCTTAAAACCAGGGGTCTTACAACCAGGACTCTTACAACCAGGGCTCTTACAACCAGGACTGTAAAAAACCAGGGGTCTTTCAACCAGGACTCTTACAACCAGGGGTCTTGCAACCAGGGCTCTTACAACCAGGGCTCTTACAACCAGGACTCTTACAACCAGGGTTCTTATAACAAGGACTCTTACAACCAGGGGTCTTAGGACCAGGACTCTTCAAACCAGGGGTCTTAAAACCAGGGGTCATTCAACGAGGACACTTACAACCAGGACTCTAACAACCAGGGGTCTTACAACAAGGACTATTACAACCAGGACTCTTACAACCAGGGCTCTTACAACCAGGACTCTTAGAACCAGGACTCTTAGAACCAGGACTCTTAGAACCAGGGGTCTTACAACCAGGACTCTTAAAACCAGGGGTCTTACAACCAGGGGTCTTTCAACAAGCACTCTAACAACCAGGACTCTTACAACCAGGGCTCTTACAACCAGAAATCTTAAAACCAGGAGTCTTTAAACCAGGACACTTACAACCAGAACTCTTACAACCAGGACTCGGGTCTTTCAACCAGGACTCTAACAACCAGGACTCTTAAATCCAGGGCTCTTACAACAAGGACTCTTACAACTAGGGGTCTAACAACCAGGACTCTTATAACCAGGACTCTTAAAACCAAGGGTCTTACAACAGAAAACCTTACAACCAGGGGTCTTAAAAACAGGACTCTTACAACCAGGGGTCTTACAACCAGGACTCTTAAAACCAGGGGTCATTCAACCAGGACTCTTACAACCAGGGGTCTTACAACAAGGACTCTTACAACCAGGGGATTTACAACCAGGACTCTTAAAACCAGGACTCTTACCACCAGGACTCTTAAAACCAGGGGTCATTCAACCAGGACACTTACAACCAGGAATCTAACAACCAGGGGTGTTACAACAAGGACTATTACAACCAGGACCCTTACAACAGGGAGTCTTAGAACCAGGACTCTTACAACCAGGGGTCTTACAACCACGACTGTTACAACCAGGGGTCTTACAACAAGGACTCTTACAACCAGGGTTCTTACAACCAGGACTCTTCAATCCAGGATTCTTACAAGCAGGACTCTTAAAACCAGGGGTCATTCAACCAGGACTCTTACAACCAGGACTCTAACAACCAGGGGTCTTACAACAAGGACTCTTACAACCAGGGGTCTTACAACGAGGACTCTTACAACCAGGACTCTTAGAAATAGGACTCTAAAAAACCAGGGGTCTTTCAACCAGGACTCTTACAACCAGGGGTCTTAGAACCAGGACTCTTACAAGAAGGACTCTTACAACCAGGACTCTTACAGGAAGGGGTCTTACAACCAGGACTCCTGCAAACAGGACTCTTACAACCAGGACTCTTACAGGAAGGGGTCTTAGAACCAGAACTCTTACAAGCAAGGGTCTTAGAACCAGGACTCTTACAACCAGGGGTCTTAGAACCAGCATTCTTACAACAAGGGGTCTTAGAACCAGGACTTTTAGAACCAGGGGTCTTACAACCAGGACTCTTACAACCAGGGGTCTTAGAACCAGGACTCTTACAAGAAGGACTCTTACAACCAGGATTCTTACAAGAAGGACTCTTACAACCAGGATTCTTACAAGAAGGGGTCTTACAACCAGGACTCCTGCGAAAAGGACTCGTACAACCAGGACTCTTACAACCAGGGGTCTTATAACCAGGACTCTTACAAGCAAGGGTCTTAGAACCAGGACTCTTACAACCACGGGTCTTAGAACCAGGACTCTTACAACCAACAACTCTTAGAACCAGCATTCTTACAACAAGGGGTCTTAGAACCAGGACTCTTACAACCACGGGTCTTACAACCAGGACTCTTACAACAAAGGGGTCTTACAACCAGGACTGTTACAACCAAGACTCTTACAACCAGGGGTCTTACAACCAGGACTCCTACAACCAGGGGTGTTAGAACCAGGACTCTTACAAGAAGGACTCTTACAACCAGGACTCTTACAACAAGGGGTCTTACAACCAGGACTCTTACAACCACGACTCTTACAACCAGGGGTCTTACAACCAGGACTCTTGCAACCAGGACTCTTACAACCAGGACTCTTACAACTAGGACTCTTACAACCAGGGGTGTTAGAACCAGGACTCTTTCAACCAGGGGTCTTAAGACCAGGACTCTGACAACCAGGGGTCTTACAACCAGGACTCTTAGAACCAGGGGTCTTACAAGCAGGACTCTTACAACCAGGGGCTTTACAATCAGCAGTGGTACAACCAGGACTCTTACCGCCAGGGGTCTTACAACCAGGACTGTTACAACCAAGACTCTTACAACCAGGGGTCTTACAACCAGGACTCTTACAACCAGGGGTCTCAGAACCAGGACTCTTACAAGAAGGACTCTTACAACCAGGACTCCTGCGAACAGGACTCGTACAACCAGGACTCTTACAACCAGGGGTCTTAGAACCAGGACTCTTACAACCAGGGGTCTTATAACCAGGACTCTTACAAGCAAGGGTCTTAGAACCAGGACTCTTACAACCACGGGTCTTAGAACCAGCATTCTTACAACAAGGGGTCTTAGAACCAGGACTCTTACAACCACGGGTCTTACAACCAGGATTCTTACAACAAGGGGTCTTAGAACCAGGACTGTTACAACCAGGGGTCTTACAACCAGGACTGTTACAGCTAAGACTCTTACAACCAGGACTCCTACAACCAGGGGTGTTAGAACCAGGACTCTTACAAGAAGGACTCTTACAACCAGGACTCTTACAACAAGGGGTCTTACAACCAGGACTCTTACAACCACGACTCTTACAACCAGGGGTCTTGCAAAAAGGACTCTTGCAACCAGGACTCTTACAACCAGGGGTCTTAGAACCAGGACTCTTTCAACAAGGACTCTTAGAACCAGGACTCTGACAACCAGAGGTCTTACAACCAGGACTCTTAGAACCAGGGGTCTTACAAGCAGGACTCTTACAACCAGGGGCCTTACAATCAGCAGTGTTACAACTAGGACTCTTACCACCAGGGGTCTTACAACCAGGACTCTTACAACCAGGGTCTTAGAACAAGGACTCTTACAACCAGGGGTCTTAGAACCAGGCCCCTTAAAACCAGGGGTCTTATAACCAGGAGTCTTTCAACTAGCGGTCTTATAACCAGCACTCTTACCACGAGGGGTCTTACAACCAGGACTCTCACAACCAGGGATCTTACAACCAGGACTCTTACAACCTGATTCTGAATGGCATTTTTCTACTTGCTCTTATTATTAGGATAAATACTTTGAGGGAAAACTACAGCTGTAAGTATATAAGCTTAAAAACTACCTAAAAAGACTCTAAAAAACAAGCTTAACCTAATAAGCTAAAACTTTAATAATTATTATCTTGAAGGTTTTTTATGTGATAATTTTTGAAATAAACGTAAAGTAGAAACGAGAAAATTTGACTGGTATTCCTTTAGAATAACAGGTACCACTGATGTTAAAAAGGAATTAACTGGATTTGTATCGAAATCCGTCGGAAGAAATCCAGCTACGAAAGTCAAAATTGCAACTGAAATTTTCCGACCCAACCCGCGCTGAAGCTGTTGTTTTTCGACCGTTCTCTGAACTGCTGTTATGAATGAACATGAACAAAGTAATATACACAGAATTCATTTTTTGAAAATTTATTTGAAAATTCAAATGTTTCTGTACTCAAATGAAATTCACTTATTCTAGCGTAATGTGCCCGTATAAACTCAACTAAAATTTTATTCGATGCGATGAAATCTACACAACAAAGCTATCTCGAATTTGAGCATGTTTTTACTTAAAAAATTTACTTGAATTTAATATAAGCTTGACCAAAAAGCGGTGAGGGTAAAAGACGGAATGAGTTTGCAGAATGGCATGCTTGCGGTATGGTATAATTATGCTGAACGTAAAATATGGAAAATGGCGCAAAGAAATAAATAAGTATTAAACTGAAAAGCATGCGCGCGTCTTTGCCGTGCCTTTTTTTGGTGCCAACTTGAGTGAGCAACTGCTTTGCTGGTCCATTTATTACTGGTGGCTCAAACCAACAAGGCAGAACAGAAAGTAGCGATAAGCTTTACTGGATTCGTGTCTATGTAGTACTTATTTAATACTTAAAAAATTATTTATTTTTGGTGTTTTCGACAATACTTTCTTTCTTTCTGCCCACCATTATAATATAGTCAAATGTCAAAACGCTAGAGGGAAAAGAACGCTTTTTGAACGTGAATTCAGGCTAGCTACAATTCCAAGGATCAGATCATATTTGAGTTAGACTAAATGAACAGCCCAGTTCAAACATTTTCAAATCTGAAATCCAGAAATCTAGTGAAGCGAACGGCGTTCTCTGTCTCCCTTGGCTTTTCCGCATTTTTATGGTGGTCTTCGCACTATCCTTGTTTGAGTGAGTGTGTGCGTTTGATCATGAAAAATGCTAAAACAGTAGGGAGGGGGAAAAAAGAAAAAGGATTCGAATTTGCCTTTCTCCGCCACCTGTTAGCGTCACGTGCCAGAAGTAACCATGCAGCCAAGGAAACAAAAAACAAGATCCGTTTCATCTCTGAATATTATGTCACGATCATATCACGTAACCCAACGTCCGAAAAGAAACACTTCTCAAGCGGTTTCAAATTCAAATATAGGTAAAAGGAAAGTGCTAAGTTAATCGTGCAATCGTCTTGTTTTGCGGGAAAAATTAAAGTAGAGCGTGACCTTCCAAAACATCTTGTGTTCAATGGCCGACTTTTTTCATGTAGTACTTGTCGCTGGTGCCATGTAGCCCGACTAATAAAGGCAAGAAGAATCTTTGTGGCTGTGCGGAAAAGGCTAATTTGCAATGAGCCTTCATGACATTTTTATCGGTGTCATCCTATGTCGAGCTCGCAACATTAAAACAGCAGCTCTGTTTGCAAATTGATTGGCGCCAAAAAAGGGGGAAATTTTCAGTTTAATTTATTTCTTTGGGTTATTCTGTGCATATGACATTCCGCATAATTATGTCATTCCTCGAGCCATGCCACCATCAGATGAAACATTGTTCCACTATCAGATATTCTACTGTTCCACCGCCTGAATACCACTGTTAATCCATTCGATGCTCTACTGTTCCACCATCAGATGTTCCAGTGTTCCACCATATCTGTTCCATTGTTCCACCATCGGACGTTCCACTGTTCCACCATCTCTCTTCCACTGTTGCACAATCAGATGATCTAACGTTCCGCCATCTCTGTTCCACTCTTCCACCATCGGATGTTCCACTGTTCCACCATTAGATGTTCTACTGTTCCACCATCGGATGTTCAACTGTTTCACCATAAGATGTTCGACTGTTCTACAGTCTGATCCACTGTTCCACCATCAGATGTTTGACTGTTCCACAATCAGATGTTTTACTGTCCCACCATCTCTGTTCCAGTGTTCCACTGTTCTAGTGTTGAACCATCTCTGTTCCACTGTTCCACCATAAGATGATCTACTGTTCCGCCATCTCTGTTGCACTCCTCCACCATCAGGTGTTCTACTTTTCCACCATCCCTGTTCCACCGTTCCAGCGCTAGATGTTCTTCTGTTCCACTATCTCTTTTCACCGTTCCACCATCAAATGTTCTACTGTTCCACCACTAAATGTTCCACGGTTCCACCACCTATATTCCACTGTTTGCCATGAGATGTTCTACTGTTCCAGCATCTTTGTTCCACTGTTCCTCCATCTCTCACCAGGTGTTCTACCTTTCCATCATTAGATGTTCGACTGTTCCACCGTTGATATTCTACTGTTCTACCATCAGATGTCTTAGTGTTCCACCTTCAGATACTTCAATGTTTCAAAACCTCTGTTCCACTGTTCTCCTGTTCCACCATCAGATGTTCTACTCTTCCACCACATCTGTTCCACCGTCCCATAATTAGATATTGTACTTTCAACCATCAGATGCTGTACTGTTCCACCATCAGATGTTTGACTGTTGCACCATCTCTGTTCTACTTTTCCATCATGATTGTTTCGCTGTTCCATCTTCAGATGTTCCACTGTTCTATTATGAGATGTTCTACTGTTGCACCATCAGATGTTCCACTGTTCCACCATCAGATATTCTTCTGCGGCACCATCTCTGTTGTACGGTTCCATAATCTCTGTCCCACTGTTGCATTATCAGATGTTCTATTGTTCCACCTTCTGCTTTCCACTGTTCTACCATCAGTTGGTCCACTGTTCCACCATTTCTTTCCACTAGTCCACCATGATTGTTTCACTGTTCCACAACCAGATGTTCCACTGTTCCTTCGATATTCCGGATATTTCTTCGGAAAGCAACCGAGAGTTCTTTTTGATGAAAATTTATTTTTTTGCTAGTTGTGCACTGCATTTGATACTTTAAAACAATGCCAGTGAATAATTAGGACGCTGAGTTGTAAACGCAAAATCTGGGGGAGAAATTGGTTATATTCGAGGCGCTATTTGAAAGCGTTCCCTATTTTCGATGTTTTTGAAACTTGCACGGTATATTAATTGACGATTGATCCAAGGATTCTCTAGTACAGGGAAACAAAAAGATAAATAAAAAACGTAATGGCGCCATTACGTTGCCATGGCGAATGCGATTGTAATTAAACCCAGATCATAAAAAATTTTCATCTTATATAATACAGTTGTTTTAACCTTTTTACGACGTAGTCAATGCTCAAACTTGGGAGGTAGCCCCTAAAAACTCCATTCGATCCACGTAAAATTAAGTTGTTGTTGCCCTTTTTTACCATATTTTTAGGTATTTCGTCGGTTGTAACGTTCATTTAAATGGAAGCAAGAGAGAATTAGCTCATTCTCTCTTAACAGAAGATGTACTCGGCGGTGGTGCCCCAATACTGGACTTATTGAGGCTCTTAAGATGTTCCTTTTTAAAAAAAGCAATATAACTCAAAATGTTTCCTAAAAACCCCAGATATTTCCCATACATAAAATCATATGAAAAGAAAAAAAGAGAGTTGTTTTACACTTCAATTGCATTCCATCATACGTGGAAATATTCCATAGGAACGGACGGTCATCTTGGTTTAAGATGTAAGTAGATAACAATTGGGGGAGACGGGAGTGATATACTTTTTGACACCAAAATTATTACCACGGTTACGATAAGAGATTAAGACAAGACATTACGCGTGATTCATACCTTGTGTACACCGATAAAATCACCAGTGCGTCATTAAACTAAAGGACAACTACTATATGGAAATTGCTGAAAAAGGAAGAAATATACACTTAAATACCTTTTTCAGATACCGTTTATACCTTTAAAATGGCTATTTAGTTGCGATAAAAAAATAGTTTCTCAACGTTAAAGAATCATGATACCGTCTCAGTTGTCAAGAGCATAAGTATTTTATTTTATAAATAAGCTCACGATTGTTTTACGTCATCATGATTATTACCAATTCATTAACGCTTAAATCATTCAAATGGCTGATCATGACTATCAAACGTTTCTGCTTTGTCACAGGCCTCGTCTGGTAGTTACCCAGGCTTGTACAATCACTGGCGACCACAAGATTGCGTCTCCTGTTGTTTGCATTAATAAAGTGATAATCCGTGCGATAAGTCATTTGAAGTTTAACACACCTCAGGCATGGGAAGGATTGCTACTTTTGATGCTCTCCAAAAGAAGACGGTATTAACATTGACAAAACGTACGTTTTTGTTGGGAGAGAACTTAAAACAGAACAAGCTTTTGAACAGAGTTGTTAGGGCGTGCTGCAGTACATAAAAAGAAAATGTTGCGCTCAGCAAAGAGTAAGCAACTTCCTCATTCGTTTACAAGATATACAAATTGGACGGAGAAGAGTATCGACAGGAAAAGCACCCCATTGTTGCAAGTTCCGTCACGAAAACTCTCAGATCGGCGACTAAGATTTGACACACTTAATTATTCTGCTGCCGCTAATAACGAACGACAAATCAGCTCTAGATTTCCAAAATTGGCTTCCTTGAGGGACGATAAAAAGAAAAACAGACCTAGAGTTGTAAATTTGGATACTACATTTGAAAGAAAGTACAGTTCATGGAGTGATCCCTCTGTGAGGTACATTTCTGAAAGAGATCCAAGGAAAATCATCCGATACGGAGATGTCAGTTTGAATAGTTCATGCAAAAGAAAGTATAGATTATTGAGTGATCCATCCACAGGGGAAAGAGACCTCTCTGTTTCACGAAGGACATCTTACAGGGATCTAAACATTAACTGTGCACTGGATTCTAGCGTACGTTTCAAGAAAGACATGAACAGTTCAGGAGTACATGAATGTGGAAGAAGGTCGTTCTGTGATACCGTATCCAGCCATCCGTGTTCAGTTTTCACAAGGAGTTCTATGTCCACGCCAGTTTATACAGACAAGGCTGAGGAGCACTTCGTATCAAAATGCAAGAATGTCTTGCACTGGATTCATAGTATTGAAAGGACAGCTTCTCATGAAGATACATAGTTCTAACTGCAATTTTAGATCTTTAAAGTACAGAATACTGGGTTACTAGAATTGTTGCACCTTCTTATTCTCTAGCAAAATGGTTACTTATGCATTCACCTAAAAATGATAGCGGCTTATAGCCTAGTACATGGAAATATTTGTCTCGATCATCGATGGGGTCAAGTCCGTATTCTATTCGCAGAATCTCTTTAACTCCTACTCATTAAGTTAATCGATCAAACAGCTTTGTTTGTAGTTGGCCGTTAAGTGGCAGGCTAGGTAAGCATAATAAAATAAAAAACAGTAAAAAATGGCGTCTGGCAAAATGCTATTCATGGCTACAGAAGTAAAACTTAAGTTGGGAACAATTTTACTACCTTTACTCTGCTAACAACGGGAGTTGTTTTTTTGTTTATTAAGGCAGTGTCTGAAGAAGCATGATCAAGATGCGAAAAGTCAAGCACTGAAGATCTGATGACGTAATATGTTAGTTTTCTCCTTGAAAGTTCACATTTTTGAAATACCAACTGAATTATTTTTAATTAAGGTGATTGAGTAAACGTCATTATACTGACGTCAAAGGGGGTTGGAAATGAAACAAACGACAATTTTTTGTCAGTCATTCTGAACCGGACAATACAAGTTTGACTTGGGAGTTTCTTTCATTCTGAAATTGTTCTTTGATAGAAGGAATACCTATCATAATTCCTGGTGATTATCCGCTGCTTGTAAGCGTACTGTCACAGGAAAAAGGGAAAGGTAAAACTTTTGTTCATTGTGGAGGGGCAACTAGCTTTTCCGGCTAGCTTTCAGGCACTCCATTTATTACAGAATAATCCAAAGGAAATAATCCAACAAAATATAGCATTATTAAAAGCTTCAGTTGGCAGTAGGCGATCAATGGGTTATTCTCAAAATATCGTACAGAATTTCAACTCGACCGAGAGTCTAGAATGGTTGGAACAGGATATGAACTCGGGACCGCCGGATTGCTAGTCCGACACGCTGACCACTCAGGCATGCTACCTCCTAATTAAAGAAAACAGGCTTGGGTCAGGACATCTCAAATAACTTTGTATGTGATCGTTCAGATCATTCACTGTAAACTGGAGAAATTCATGATCATGCTGATGTGTATTTGTTAGATTTTGATTTTAATTTTCTTGCTCTAAATCTCAATAAAAAGGTAATGGAATTTGAGATTCAGTAACCCGAGTAACGTACTGTTTAACTCAAACAGTATTCCCACAAACAATTGCTGAAGAGCCCATTAAGAACCGTAGTTGAATTAATTCGACTTAAGTATTGAAAACTCACAACGGATGTTGTGCAAATTGTTTCGCATGAAAAGTGGTCAGTCATGGTCTTTTTTTAGCAAAAATCTTAATGAAAAGCATTTTGATAACACGTTAGTATTTCTGGTCTATTTGACCATTTGACTTCATTGCCGTGGTTCAGTTGTTTAAGAAAGGGCGTCGGTTTCCAGGGTTAATATACCCTCAAATACAATATATTTACGAGGATTGAGTCTAATATAAACTATACGTAGAGCTGTTATGAGTGAGGTGATAAGGTCCTGCCATAGATTTTTCTGAATGCTAAATCATGTTCTCAATTAATGTTACTAAGCTCTGAACCGAAATAACTCTTGACATGCGCACAACTAGCCTACGCGACCGAGTTCTTGACATGTTAAGAAGTTTTCTGAGTGGAACTTATAAACCTGTTTCGCTCTGAGTCTGGAAACTCTTAAACATAAAAAGTTAAAAGTTTATTTAAATGCATTGAGTTGTTTACAAGAATATATAACCCTTCGGGGCATGACGCCTTCGCTTGACGTCATTGACAATTATTACGATTGATAGCAATCACTCTTTTATTGACAAATGATTCATTAAGGACTGAAACTGTTATCACCTTTATTTTATTACACTTTCTCTTTGGGTCTTAATGTTCTACAGGGGAGTCGAATCCAATCCTCTCATGGACTTATGAGGCATTTTTTCCCGATTATACCTTACTGACGGAAAGGAAAACTCTGCTACCTCAATCAAGTCCTCTTATTGGCTGGAGTGTGCAGTGTGGCGTTTGTAGTTGCGTAACCTTGTGGCCGGTAATCCTGACTGTATGGAGTAATTTGATATCCACCACCAAGAGTATAGAGAACTCAAGTAGCCTTTTTTCAAGATCTGAATATCATGAACCTAAATAAAACGCCACTTCTTCAATTTCGGAGGAAAAGTAATACATCTTACTCGGAGAGTCGTGCCAACATGAAGTCTCCGTCGTTGAACTTTCCTTCTGCGCTCAGAAAGATTTCAGATACAAGACTTAACGGAATTCATTATTCTCATACTAGTAAGGACGATTTCCAAAGCGGCTTATTATTTCCAAAGTTAGTTTTCTCGAAAGGTACGAAAAACGTCAATAGAGTTGTGAATTTGAATACTGATTGCGAAAGAAAGTACAGGTCGTGGAGTGATCCATCTGGAGAGCATACTGGGGAAAAAGATGAACGCGGCAATCCAGTACAGTCAGTACAAATTTGTAATGATAGATATACGAACGGCAACCATCTTTTTATACAAGGCTTAAGAAGAGACGTGAATGTAACAAGAAACAGCTTTGAGACAAAATCGTTTTGTGATACTGTGTCGAGCTATCCGTGCTCGGTTTCCACACGGAGTTCGATGAA